GTGTACCCCAAACCCCTCGGGGGAGCCGAGAGAGAGCCACAGGTGTTCACAAATAACTGTATGTTTTTAAAGGCGTACCGTGTTCCTGCGCTGTTAGTGATTTCAGAGCACTCAGGATTTTGCATTAACGGCAAGCACGCCGTCCTTTCCGTACTGTCTTTGAATACCAGCTATGGCCGAACTAGGTCTGGCCTCTCTGTTGGTCACTACAGTATTTGCACGTGAGTTAACGTGGTACGAAGAGTTGTCTCTGACCGGCAGACACCAGTGGCAGATCTCATTGGACACACGAAGGTCTTTCCCAACCTAAATGATTCTAAGAACACCCTCAAAACCTCTCTTCGAGAGCTATGTGACTGGGGCAGGCTCAGGTGCTCAGTCACTGCAGCTGTAATCCCGGCTACAGGCAGTCCCGTGCCTATCCCAGCTGAAAAATGTGTGGAAGTTTTCCTGGCAAGGTTACTTGGACTGTAAATCCCGGGTGACGGAGGCTGCCAAGTACAGCTTCCGTACTCCGTTCACTAAACCTGTGCTGGAGCGATCCCCCTTGCTGTGCAGGTGGTCAGCAGACACTCGAGAGGGTGCCTGGCTTCCGTGGTGAGAACAGCTCCGGAGCTGGGAAATGCCGCTGCTGTGGGCACCGCGCGCCTCTCTCCTTCCACGCTGCGAAATACCCAGCCATTGCACGCTGCTGTGCCTCTCCTGACCACTGCAATGCTTTGCAAAAGAATGGATTACAAAATCGTGTCGTCTTGAATTCTGCCAAACACATTTTGATATGCTGAACATTAAGGCAGTCAAGTTTGACACCAAATCCTCTATAAAAATGACTGATCAAAATATAAAGTATAATAAAATGTTGTGATAATTATACAAAAACATAAATTGTTCTTGTTATCCTGGTGATGATTTTTGAGTGTCATTTGCTTGCATGGATTTCAAGTTCAGACAGTTAAACTTTAAAGCAAAAATTCATTAACTAGCAAGATGGAGTTACAGCATATTAACTGGATTCTTAGTTAAGTCTACTTGAATTTCTTCTTTAAAAAAAAGCAACAAACCCTAAAATGCTTACACATTCCCTGTTTCACATCAACTGCTTCCAAGTTTGCTGACAAGACATAATAGGTGATCTTTTAACTTACTGCTCGCGTTACAATCCCGGAGATCAAAGGACCATTGTAAAGCCCCTCTCAAAGACACAAGTCATTCTAGCTATGAATCGAGGAAGGACTCTGCTGCTTTTGAGTACTGAAGATAAAAAAAAGCTTTGGAAGGACAACACGGTAGTTTTTCCCTTTGTATATCAAATCAACAAATTCGAATGAACAAAATGAAGAAGCAACTAGTCAGAGGAGCCAAAAAAATAATAGTCAAAGGAATGTTACTCTTTTTTTGAGCAAAAATCCAGGACATACACATCAAATGTCAAGAAAACGGGTGTGTTATCTGGTTAGATGCAGAGAGAATCAGATGGCTTCAAAGTTTTTTTGTGTAACTTGAACATCTAATTTTCAAGTTATGGTTCGGGAGCCGATACATCTCTATAGGAGATATATCTGTATAGCAACACACGTGACAGAAGAGGTCAGGAAGCCATTTATATTTTGAATGATTGAAGAGCTGTTTGAATCACTAGGACACAAACTGTCACAGAAAGTAGAACGTGGACAGCAACGAAAGAACACTTACCATAAGCTAAGTCCGATGAAGGAAAAACAAGATGAGAGTGTTGCACCAGTGCACTATCATGTTCTAAGTAGATTCAATTTGTGGAGTACCTTAAAGACTTCCAGGTAGTGTGTTAAGCTGAATTACATAGTGTTGCAGTGTGCTGCTAGTTTTCTGTATAGAAAGGGATCTATTCTACCGGCCTTGTGACAAAGTTCTCTGGAATTAACAATGTCTATGAGTATGGGGAGAGAAGTATTGCACAACCTGTGAACTTCATTCCCATTATTAAATATTGCCATTGGTGTGCATGTAATACTGCAGGGCAAGCTGATGCCTGCAGTGTTAATAAGGTGCTTGCATAATAATTGTTTCTTAGGATTAGGCTTTTGAAGTATTGTGAGAAGTCTAAAAGACTTTTGTATAATGTAATGTAATACATTTGCCAGTTGGGATGTATAGAGTAGCTTAAGCACGAAACTGGATGAGGACATACATTTCCCACGTCTATGTTATGTGTTATAAAAGAGTATTATATGTGGCCAGGATTCATAGGACAAAAAAAGCAGAGGCAAGAAATCCATATTCACAAGATTGTTGTTTCAGGCAAGGCCAAATCAAGCGATGCATTTGTTGTCATTGACTCTAAACCATCATAAAGTGCTATCACTAACCTGTCTGCTTGCCATAGGTAAGGCCAGTAGACTACTGTAGCAGCACTTTATGCCAGATCATGTACTGTTTGCTCCATCAAAATAGAATCATAGAATCATAGAATCATTAAGGTTGGAAGAGACCTCTGAGATCATCGAGTCCAACCGTCGACCCAACACCACCAGGCCCACTAAA